AACACAAGTAAGGTTACTGAATCGAATGCCAATTTCGAAATTCGTTTTGGATTGTTCTGACACGTACACTTGGCACTGAGTTAGATATTGTAGTGTTCTCTACCCGAAGGTTGAGAACTACGGAGCATGCGACTGGTGCCTAAGAGAGGGAGGAGGAAAATATTTAGCGCAAGGTAATAACAGCAAATCAAACTCTCCTTCTTCCTTCTTGACTAAGGGAGGTACGGGAATCAACGTGCAACGAGGGTCCTTCTCTTTGCAACTCAATAAGCCCATCAAGAAGCGAAGATTGTCGGAGAGGCCGGCATCGGATGCAAACGAGAGGATGAGATCGGAGGAGATTTCACCGAGACTGGGGGGGCCAAGGCAAGCGTTTAGAGGTAGAGTCAGGAGATACAAGTTGCTGGAAGAGGTCTCAAGCTAAGCTAATTATTGTACCGCATGATTTTTTTTTTTTTGATTTAAAGGAAAAAAAAACCCCTCGTGTCATACATAATAAACATATGATTGTGTTCCAGTGTGTACAATATATAAGTTTGTTCGATTAAACTCTAGTTTTGGAAGAAGAGGGAAGGAATTAGAAATGTATATGGTTTGATTCTTTGGGAAGACAATGAAGACAGCAAATGTGCTTTAGCTACGGAGATATTGCGGCGTGAATCATTAATAAAGAGCCAAAGGAAATATATGGGCTGGGGGTATCTGATGAGTCGATCACCATTGACTATAAACAAACTGAGGGCCCAGAATGAGGGACTTTAAACATGATGGTGCCTTTGAATTTAATCATGAGGTTCTCTATTAGCCTAAGTTTCCTTTTTCTTTGCTTACTTTTTTTTTTCCTTTATAATTGGGATCAGTGCTTAAAACATTAGCTGTTAATAAACTTTTTTTTGACCTTTTCTTTTTTCCGCTAGCTCCTGTTCATGGACACCTGCATGGTGCCGGGCTTTCTGACCTGAAGAGTAGTAGGAGACAGGTTGGATACCTCCATGGCCCATGTTTCGAGGTGTTCTGATAAAATCCGTACTCCAAAAGTAACCGTTTGGTATTTAACCAGGACTTTCCTACCATAACATTTCCTACTCGAGTGTTGCTACGGGGACCCAAAATATGGGAGCAAGGGAGGGGACAGGTGAGATGTCTCATCCCTATTGCATAATGAGTTGGCTATGCCAACTCATTATGCAATAGGGATGAGACACCTTACTTGTCCCCTCCCTTGGTCTCATATTTTGGGTCCTTAAGTCATTTTCCTTTCTTCGACCCTTTTTTCTTTTATTTATCAAAACCGACCCGATTTCTTGATTAGCGGCTTAATCACATTCCTAATTAGTCGGGGTTGCCAACCCCGACTATTTAGGATATTATTTTTTAGGGTTTAAGGCTTCTAATTAGGGTTTAAGACCCTCCTAAATAGTCGGGGTTGGCAACCCCGACTAATTAGGAATGTGATTAAGCCGCTAATCAAGAAATCGGGTCGGTTTTGGTAAATAAAAGAAAAAAGGGTCGATTTTAATAATAAAAATTTTTAAAAGGGCTAAAGTGAAAAATTGTTCATACTTAAAACCATAGGACCAGTCTCCGGGCCGAGAGAAATAAATAAAAATTGTTTACGCCCACTGTCAGCAGCAGGCATCTATTCCTTTGGCACTCGCTTGATTTCTCTGTGGTCCAATGTAGCGAAAACTCTCCCATGCTGTAGTCTTCCCAATCCAATTCTGTGGATAATGCTGGGAATATCTGGAGAGGGTCTATCAACGGTGAAAATTAGGCTAAATGGCAATTAAATACCCTATCATTTCATCACCTTCACACTTAAATACCCCAAGTTGTAAAAATTAACACTTTGATACCCTAAGTTATAAAAATAAACAAATAAATATTAACCCTTTTATACCCTGAGTTGTAAAAAAACTGACACTTAAATACCCTATTGTTTCACCACATTTACACTTAAATATTCTTAGTTATAAGGAGTAGCATTTTAATATGTAAGAAAGTAGTACTTTGATACCCAAAGTTATAAGAAAGTAGCGCCTTAATACATTCAGTTAGTTGTCAAGACAACTTCCTAAGAATATTCCCAAGAAAAGTAACAGAAGGTACTAATGTTCCAAAAAAAAATTATAACTTAGGGTCTATCAACAGTGAAAATTAGGCTAAATGGCAATTAAATACCCTATCATTTCATCATCTTTACACTTAAATACCCCAAGTTGTAAAAATTAGCACTTTGATACCCTAAATTGTAAAAATAAACAAATAAATAACCCTTTTATACCCTGAGTTGTAAAAAAAACTGACACTTAAATACCCTATTGCTTCACCATATTTACACTTAAATATTCTAAGTTATAAGGAGTAGCATTTTAATATGTAAGAAAGTAGTACTTTGATACCCAAAGTCATAATAAAATAGCGTCTTAATACCTTCAGTTAGTTGTCAAGACAACTTCCTAAAAATATTCCCAAGAAAACTAACAGAAGGTACTAATGTTCCAAAAAAAATTATAACTTAGGGTAATAAAGTTTTATAACCTCGGATATTAAAGTGCAAAGATGGTGAAACAATGGGGGTATTTAGGTGCCATTCAGCCTCAAAATTATGATACTCTCTCACCTATGACAAGAACCTTCCAAGATACTTTGCAGGTTTCAAGAATGGACTTGTGACTGCGGCAGCCTGAGTGCTATTTGAAGAACTTGGAGAAGATTAATGATGAGAGAATGATGAAATGTTTGAACATGTGCCCGATGAGACAAATGATACAGATACGATTACTGGTTATCTTCTTCAAGGGACTTTTCTTGAATGTAAAAGAAGAATGAAACAGCCCTGTTTGCTCATGAAAATAAAGAAAAGCTCGCTGGTACCAACGCACAGAGATCCAACAAGCAACCATACAGTGTTCTGCTGCAGAGAATCTGGAGACGTTGTAATAAGATGAATTTATTTGAGTTTTGTTCTTGTCCTCAAACAAGTAACCAACATCCAGATACAGAAAGATCAGGGTATATTTCAGCATCATTGGCTAACTCCTGCATTTTCCTCGTCGGCTTCCACTCGCTGTCTGGAACTAATTCAATGCGGTACTCTGGTGCATCTTATTACATGACTAAAGGGCGCATCTAACACAATATGACTGGAGTATCCGCGAGTCAAGTCTCTCCCAGACTTGTCCTCAAACCAAAGCATACACTCACTTCTAATGTAAAGAAGCCTCATATTTGATGAATCGATAAGGGTTGACTAAAAAACTTGAGGGCCCAAAACGAGGACTTTAACATCATGGTATTGTCTATGACTGTATTTTATTAGCCTCGCTTTCCTTTCTCTTTTCTTACTTTTGCGTTTATAACCAGGATCACTACTTAAGCATTAGCTTTTTGTTCATCAACGCCTGC